AGCCAGGATCGATGTAAGGTAACCGATGTTCAGTTTGAACAACGAGCATTCGGACCGTAGAGATTCCTAAGCAGAAGCAGGTTTTGCCCCGCAAGTTACTATTAAATTAATCCAACCCGATGATTGCAGCATTTATATGTTCATCCAGATCTGACAGACTTAGAAAAGGCTGATGGCTTTGTTGCGTTCCAAGTGATTTCATGGTTCATATCAAGGAACCATTAAGCTAGGAATCTCTTCCGATTCTGGTTGTTTCCATCAACTTGGCAGACAACCCACAATGATCATGATAATCTAGGAATCGCGAATTGACGACTTCTCTGCGTTTAAGAGTGGTTTGCTGTGTTGTGGTTAACAGTAACGGCTGTTAACCAAAGCATCACGTGACCGACCCGCTGATTACCCCAGATCTAGAGGAAATTCAAGTATGGAAAGGAATTTATTTACGACAATTCGTTTGCTTTTCACATGATACGACGGTTGAAAAAGCGTAATTCTGCATGAACTTATGCAAATCTTCCTCTGGCCAATACAAATTCAGCTGCTAAAATTGACAATGTCTCAGAACTGAAACTGTATTGCCCCGAGGGAGGCGGTAAATTCTGTCGGTAAGCCTTGATGTGATTGATAAGACATTGTAATAGGTTGAGCCTCCGCCTACTTAAAAAAGATTTAACCAACGCTGTAGCTGACTTAAAAGGCTTGATGAATTCGTGCCTGAAGCTAAAGCCGGATCACTAGTAAATTCACTGAAATAATTACTTATAGATCAGTTCCCACTCTTCCCAACCGATTAACTGCAAGCATGGATCGGAAGGGTGTCCAGTGGATTCGTGCAGCTGTTGAAGCTAGGGGTGATTCAAATAAGTCAGGTCTTTTCAAAACCAAGATGTGTGAAGCGTAATTTGTTAAATAAATCGCTGGATAATAAACACTTCCGCAAACAGCTGTCTAAGCAATAAGTCTACTTCTGAAACAAAACGAAATCTTCGTAATTCGTGAACGCCCGCTGCTATTCACTGGTCGTCAAGAGAAATGGCCTTGAGCTCGAAGAAAGAGATGAACGCGACAATACTCTACCTACTCCTATAGGTTTTTTGCGTTGGATATCAGCGGCGGCACCAGTAGGTAAGACTAATAATAACAGCGAATCACAAGAAGGGCATATGCAGGCAGTAGTATGCAACAAACAAGCTCTGGTATCATATCTGCGAACGGTCGCTGTAAACGCGCACAACACGAAAGGTAATATCTAAGAATGCAACTGGCTCACGATATACTGGCAGACAAATTGAATCAGCATGAGCCAATCCAATTCCAAAAACGCTTAAAACCCACTCCCTATTAATCGTTTTACGTTGCTTCTTTATCCAAAGCATTCGGTTCAAGTGCGAATTCTAATTAAGATTAGTCGGACACCATGTAAACTGGCCTGGAGGAAAACCGTGCTCTACAATGTGAGTTTACAGAGGATAATGGGTGATCGATAGTTGTTCAGCTGTAACATCCTGGCGATGCCTAGCTGCCATACACTCGATGAAGGCATGAGGGCTGAGATACTGCCAGGTTGCCGAAGTTTAGACAGGTGAAGTCGACTTTCAGAGGCCTAGGTCGAATCACGGACCTTCCGGCCAGTGAATTCGCGCTCTAATCGCTGAGCCATCTCGCTCCCAAAGGATAGCGTAGAAAATCGTTTGCCTGTCTGTCAATCTTCAAGAATCCCGCACAAAAAAGACTACGGAATAACCATACCTCATTTTTCAAAATGCCATCGAAACATTAAGATCATGTTTTTAATTCGGGACAGAACCACAACTGTCTATCGAACATCAGCAATACTATTCTTCAGTTGCGATCTGTTCGCAGTTCTCCAAACCCAGATAAGTACCTGAGTTGACGACGAAATGCGTGTCCATTATGCGCTGCAAATGAAGTTTCCAGTACAGAACCAACCCGACGTTGTTCCAAGAACCAGAATGGCAAGATTCAAAAGAAGCGAAATGAATTTAAATACCCGGCGCATACAAATGATTCCAACGAAGATGAAAACGAAATCTACAGTAAGTTTACAGAGTCAAATTGTGCATTTACTTTGTTCAGTTTCTGCAAGTCCTTGAAAACTGCCAGAAAGACTGCTAGAACAGGATAAAAAGGTGCAACACTGGCTATAAGGTGGCGGAGCACGAGAGAGAGAGAGTACGGGGCAACTCCAGTACATATAAGTAGATGAATTAACATGGTCCTGCCTTTCTCCAGAGATCAAGAGAAGCAAAAGTGCACGGTCGAACCACTGGTATTGAAGTTCGGGAAGACCTGAGTAAATAAATTCCTCGCTTGAACTTTGCCTGAAATCAATGAAAAAATACCAGTAAATCAGGAGTCATATATTATTGTTACTATCATCGCGGATAACTCTGAAGAGCTTCACTTTCAATCAGTCCGCCCAAACCACCCTCCTGGGGTTTTCTTGCTGACTACACCGACTAGTCCTTCCATAAACCTGTGGAAATGAACACAGTAGTGGCCATTATAAGCTCTCGTTTTATAACAACGCCTATGAACCCAGTCCAAGATGAATCAAAAGGGGCATCAATATCCCCTTCGATGGGAGTTAATTCGAACCTTCATAGAATAATCACTTTGATAGGGGGCACCACGAAGAAAGGCACTTTCTAGTATTCTCTGCGTCAGAAGCACGCTTCAGCACGACGAGTTGCCTATACACATTGTCTATCTGACGCATTCCTGGCTCCCGTCTCGCGATTGTTGACCAACCAATTAACTAGCTCACAGAGCGGCACATGACCCATACGTTATGATAAGTCAGGTCTGTTGCTGGCGAGGAGCTCAAAATAGTCGAAAAGGAGGAGAAACATAGTTCCGAAAATCACATCAGTGCTAGTTTCACCTCAATTGTGCTTGGGTGTTGTTACGAAGGGCAAATGACAATGTGTTTTTGCAGTAGCATCCAATGTTTTCCGGATGACTCGCGCCCTCGTATGTGTCACGCTTCAACGGTGAACAAAATTCGATTTATCAAGAAGACTTGGTCATATTATTTCAAAGGTTGAAGTGTCCACATTGAAAATAAAACGAAATTTCCAAAAGATTCAGGAATATCGTGGAATTTCTATCTACTCACAAGTAGATCAAATGTAACATCAATAACTATTTACTTCACATTTGAATCCGATTGGGGGGGGGGGTAAGGACTAAAGGCGGTACATCATTGCGGGGGGTGATTACAAATGACCGTGCAAAATTCGAGAAGTAACGTACTTGCGTCGAAACCGCTGGCCGAGTACATGCCACTGTCATACTGATGGCGCTTTTGTGGGTCTGATAACACACTGTACGCTTCTCCGACTTCCTTGAACTTTTGTTCTTGTTCTTGTCTTGTTGCATCGTCTGCATGCGTGTGGCGGTCTATACAGAGGGAGAAAGGTAAGCTCAGTCCACAGTAGAAGAAAAAGGTATCACTTCATCTAGCTGAAAATTAAGAAAACGGTGTTCTGCGGGCCAGTTTATCCTGTCTGGGTTGGGCCCGTATGGTAAACTGCAGCTGTCACAGTGTCAGTCTATAACAGAACCAGAAAAATCATTCGAGCTACTACGTAACAGTGCGGACACTGAAACACGGGTCATTTCTAGTTCATCCAGATACGAACAGTGTGTAAAAGAAAAAAATATCATTGAATGAACATAAGCTTTGGTGTTTAAGTGGGTCAGAAACCCACGTCCGTTACTGCAACCTCAAAAAATTGGGATCGAACATTTGCTTCTCTGAGGCAAAGGCCTCCACCGCAATTTTCGTGGGCAGATAAAACGTCTCCTAGCCACATGCTGAAACCACTTTCTTCTTAATGTTCATACCGCATATGTATCTGCTAGAGCCAATCTGTTCGACCCCATAGTTGGAAGAAAGTTCAAATAACTCCACCGCAAGAAGATAAATTTCCCTTTAATTTCGGAATGTGGTCGAAAAATAGTTGGGGGTTCGGAGAAGAACCCGCGTTCACCCGTTTTCTCCGCCTGAGAGCAAGGCGAGCTAGCCGTTTTTTGAAAGTCGCGGAAAAACTAAGTCTAGTGAACTTATAAAAAGGCAGAATACGTCTTGACGGTGGATTCTGAAAAGCAACCTGCATCCCCCTCAAAGGTAATGCACTCAGATCATAGACTTGGTACTTTTCAGATCCTCCCACAGGATCACGAGAAATAGGGGATGACACTTGACTTGAAGTCACCGATTCTGATTTTAGCGCATGTGTAAGGAAGTCACCTAAGCTAGCACGAAAGACGTTCGTACTGCCAGAAACATCTGCACGTCAACCAGAGGAGGAGCTAACATCCTCAGGCATCTCGAAATAAATTTTCAAGCCTCGACACCCAGTCTATCTAGCTGCCTTTAATGTCCATACTCTGAAACAAACAGGACAATAAGCTGCTTTCAATCTCACGCTGGTGTCGTTTGGCATTGATGTGTACTGTGTATCAGAAACAAGGATTCAAGATGCAAGCACTGTTGTTGAGCTAACACCCCCATCACACCCCAATAGCTTCCAGCTGCACACCTCTAGAGACTACTCCGGCACGATATGCAGGGGCTGGTATCCTCAGAAGTGTGCTGACCGCAGGCTGTTTTCATGCAGTGCTAATTTCCGAAATAGCCAAAGTCGTCCGGACACAAGGTGTCCTTCAGCGGCGTGCCAGCTATGAACCCAAATTGATCGCACTGCCATCAGCTATCCATGGCGCGGATCAATAACTGACTGCCGTTTTGGAACATATTTGTAGATTCCGAACACGCGCTCGTCCGAAGTCGCTTCTCCCTAAGTTTTACAGGGCCGCGCTTGGCAACTAAGAAACTGACAGATCTGAATGTTAGACGAGTTTTCTAACTGCTTCATCGTCAGAAATGAATTCAAACTGGGCTGATATCACCACCTCTTTACCCGGATCCGGGGAAATATCCAGTTAATTCTAGTGGCTAAGTTCGTTGAGGCGAGGTGAAATTGTGCAGGTAGACCTCCGTTTTCCTAGCATGCACACTGTCCAACGGGTCAAAATGACAGAAAGCCTCCAACGAAAAAGTCCCGTAAAGTACACAGTCAAGGGGCAACCCAACTTCCTGCACATTCAACCGACCTCCAAGAACATACATGTTGTTAAGTATGTGCTTTTTTGGCAGACAACGTAGAATGACGTAAGATTTTGTGGACATGATTAGCATTCTCTATGCTTTTCAGTATTCTGAAGCAGTTGGTGAACTGAATACATTGAGTTCAACGTGTGTATTCGAATAATTCTATCATGTACTCCGAAATTGGCCCCACGTTTCGATTCCGATGACTGTGATGTCATCGTTCATCGAAAAATCGGATAGCTTTGGCGAGGGGATTTTCGCATCCAGTTGGTAATCAGTAACGAATTCCCTGCCAACCACACAAGACGACTTCACGCTGATGAAAAGGTTTTCCGATCCACTATGGAAACACGCCAAGCTCAAGCGGATTGAAAGGTATGGGAACTGTATGGGAAGTTTGTTAAAAATGGTCGCCCAAAACAGCTTCTCCTTCGTGCGTTCGGTTCCCTTCATGCATACAAACGAATAGGCGAAAAAGATTCACACGTTTCGTACTTGTAAGCGAGAAATGTTACGTATGGACGATATGACTCAGTAGTTAGAACACGAATGTACTGACCGGAAGGTTCGTGGTTCGAATCCAACCTCTACCTCCGGACTGCCTCTATCTAGGCTTGGACAACCTGGCAGTATCCCAGCCCTCTGGTGGCATGACAGTTAGGCACCGAAAGGGTGCTACAGCTGAACGATGGCCAGCACTCATGCATTTGAATCGAGAAAACTTGGAGCGAAATTGCGAGTCTTGGGGGTGGGCTTTGGTTCAATGGATCGCCGTAGCCATAGCGTCGCCATCTATCTGCGTGCGCAAAAACTTTACGCTTGTGTGTGTGCGCACCATCGGGATGTGATTTTGGCTAGACGTCTTCACAATTCTGGTCATGAGTCTACCAGGGGCCGACAACATTGAGTTTAACTGTTTCCATATCCGCCTCCGCATGACATGCCTCAACGGAATTAGCCCTGTGGTGTGGCAGGCTTATGGTGGTGTGAGGAGTGCTGTTTTTAAAAGTACCAGCGTATAAGCCAAATTGCGTCAGAGCACGATTGCTTCAAGAACGCTAGGTGGGTGTGACGTAATTCAGGCTCATCGGTACTGCAAGCCCCAGTCTATCACAATGGGAATACAATGGATTCAACTGAATGACATCCCTATTCGAGTCTGAACTCTGAAAACCCCGGAGTAGGAAACCTACGACAGCGCTAGAACTGACTTTCTGTGAGCATCGTTGTACAATATATTCAAAAGGGTCCAACCCACATCAGTTGTTTTTCCGAAATTGCTGTTCATATGTAGGAAAGAATGCTTCGAGGTTGCCAGATGGTGGACAGGACGAATCAAAAAACCATGGTTCGGTTCGAACCAGAGATCTTCTGGTTAGTAGTCTTGCAACTTAGCCACTGAGTTCACCAGACAATGCAGGAACATGGCATCTGACCCATTCGAATTAGACTGGAAATTCGGTACGTCCAAAAAGGTGTCAGACCTCGCAGAATGTGGCTGATGTGAAGGTAACCTTACGTATAACAGACCTTGTGTTTCCGCATTCTGGATTGAGGACCACTCAATGAGCAGTGAATGTTGGGTAGAACAGGGGGGACGTTGAAAAAGCGGCGTGATGTTTGCCAACCCCGTGAGGTGCCGGAAAACAACCTGTAGCTGTCTAACCCGGACCTTCTTTACACGGAAGCACTCATTCATAGAATCATAATGAAGCTTAAGAGAATGAAGTTTTTCGCTTGGGCGATTTCCGCTCACCAAGAAACATCTGTATCAGCTCGAGTTAATGAGTGCTCTCTTGTTGGGGCTAATTCCCTGCAAGAGTGCACCGAAAAGAAGCTATTTGTAACTAAATAAGCCAGTTGAGGACAACATGCACGCATTTGAAGCACATAATCAGTGTTCAACACCAATCCTTTGCTGTCGTAGTCCACGACCCATGATGTACACAACATGACAGGCTGCAAGAGATGTTGGCTCTGACACTTCGAAGAAATCATGAAAGTACTCAAATCTAAGAGAAAAAGCTCACCTGGATGATGCTGGAGAGCTAGTTTTTTATAGGCCTGTTTGATTTCGTCTGACGACGCATTTTTCTTTACACCAAGTACTTTGTAGTAGTTTATTTCCTTCGACCGAGCCAGTTCTCTTTTGGCCATTTGCAAACCCTGTTTGTGTTCATCGCTGGGGTCCATATTTACCACAGTTGTCCACTCTTCAACAGCCTTATCGTACATTTCCAAACTGGAGTAGCTGAAAGGCGATGGTGGGGGGAGGGAAAAAGCAGGTTCATAAACGCGAAAACTATCAGAGGCTTGAGTGGCTAAAATGGGACAAAGACAACGATTAATGGTTCTGAGAGCTTTGTACATCCTTGTATACCACTACACTATCGTCAGATATACCGAAGAGAATGAAGTATTCTTAAACTACCCAAGAAATGGGAGGTACCTACTGTGCGCGCAATCAAAACTTAAAGAATATGAAGAAATTCAAAGAACTCTTGTGACAATTACTGAATGATACAAACAGAAAGAGATATTCATAATTCTTGGGATTTTCTACGCGTTTAGCAGTCAAGTTGCGTGGTTGCAAGTCAGTTTACTCAGTTATACTGTGTTGCATATAGTGCTCTGTTATATCTGCTGATTCGCCGGTCTGTGGTATCTGCTGCTGACCCGCTCCAGTGCCCAGTGTAGGAGAGAAAAAGGCTCACGGAAGGGAACACAATAGCTATATTCCAACAAACTGGTTGCGATAGCGCGAGTGCGTACGAGTGCGAAAAGTACAACGGCCTCAAGCATTTTATTGGAAGGATACTGTCTGAACTTCGTCCAATGCTGACGCACGCGGTCTGGCTTTAGTACGAGGCAGCGACGTGCTGCATATTGCGGAGGCGTTGTCTGTCCTTGATCAACGCTGACTCGCGCTGTCTGGATTTGATGCAAGGCTGTGACGTGCTGCATATTGAGGAGGCGTTGTCTGTCTGGTCAACACCCAGCGGAGCTGAGAGTCTCCGTAGATTCCTGGCATTCAGTGGTTGCTTTTAGGAAGCTGACCTTCCTGATATGCTCCGATCGCTGATATCCATCAAGCTAAAGTGAGTGCGGTTGAACATCGATCTACGGTACAGCTATCTTCTTGAGCCGATAGTACGTGAGAATGTCAGATCCATAATGGTAGTGAATGGATCACCGGGCGTGTATATTACACATCAATCGACAATCCGGAATTGTAAAGGTGGTAGATTTTGTACACGCAAAGCTGGTGAACCGTTGAAAAATTTGTAAATGATGGTTTGAGATAAGGACTAGTGGACACAGCCGTGTAAAGACGGCTGTACACTCTGGACCGTTCGGTACGTGTCAGTTAGGTTCGATGTGAAATCAGTACCCAACTGAAGTTTGACCATTTGTAACCGTTCTTGAAGTTTATCGCTGGGCACTCAACCAAAGTATGACGATCGAATCATTGATGTTTCAGTGGGAAGGTCGGACAAAGTATACAGTGGGGTAATCTGACTGTTAAACAAACGCAAGTCGATGCAGCCTATTCGGTCACATTAGGATCTTGAGTCATCCTAAATAAAACTATGAAAGATAATCAGTGGTAAAGGTGTTTGATCAATTAAACTAACAAAGCAGATGAGCCACAAGCGGGAGTTTCCAATACACGGAAACGATGCAACTGAAAAAAATGCATACTTATGCATACTTATTTATAGTTCATTTTCAGACCCAGTAGTCGGGTAAATAATTGATTTTGGGACCACCATTACAGGTATTTCGTGGATGCCTCTAATCCAAAAAATGCCTTCTTTATACAACAAATTCATACAAATTTTAGGTTTTACTATTAAAGTTTAGGTAAGGAAACATCCCGGCTAACCCAATGGCGCACACTACTGCAAACCAAGTAAATCTATTCTCGACATCCGGCATTGTTGGAAAAGTAAAGATATGTCTGATTAGAAAATACAAATAAGCGGTGTACTCGTGTGGGTCTCATTGTAAAGTGATGGTCAACTGGCTGACGGTTAACGACAGCAGCTTGGGCGCGCGAGCTCACAATGGATGCCGGAACTTCCCAAGACCCTGGATGGTACGGCGACAGCGGTGTTGATTGCGTCAGTTTGCCCTGGGATGTTGTTTTGTCCGTCCAAAGACAACGCGATATCAAAAGACCGGTCGGGAATGAGTTGTCTGAGTAAGCTGACCGTGACTGCTGTGACGGGGCAGAAAAACCACCAGGATATTAGTACTGATGAGTACCAATTCCATGGAGACAGGAGTCGCATGCAGCGCTACGAGTGAGCCATGGATGAACACGTAGCTTACCTGCAAAGGTTACTCGATTATATATGACAAAAATATACGTTCAAATAAGTCCTGTCCAAGTGACAGAATACCGGGTATTTTCATTACAAAAATGGTTGGTAAAAAAAACTGCGAAACAGAAAACACGGAAAACTGGAAAAGGTAGTATAAAATCCGACTTTGAGAATTTGAGTGGTGTGACGTACTGAACACCGAATAAATGAATTTTTGCACGGGGAAGTACGGGTGTGCAAATGTATGAAGCCATTCATAGTACGACTGCAATATCGAGTTGAAGAGATCCGAGGGAAGAGGTGCGTCATTGAGAAATTCAAAGAAATCGTGAACAGACATGGAAGAACATGTTTAAAAGAAGACAAGGAGTGTGGAAACGGAAATAATTATCCGGTCTTGTTTGAAAAGACAAAAGCCCTTCTTGAGGAGCCATGGGGAACGAAGAAGAGTACACTAAGTTACACGTGAAGGACAAAAAAATTGGCGTGGCCCCATTAGGGAGGAGAATTTTCTGTCTTGACGAGTGTATTCACGTCCAAACTAAAGTGGAGGGAACTCAGTCCTAGGTAATTGGAGAAGTTACAGATAGGGAATGCATAACAACGCCGCGATCATACGAGGAGTAATATATAATTCGTTTTTACGGGATTGGAAGACTTGAATTCAGTTGAGAACATCGCACCAAAAATTCGTCAAAATGATCAATGTCGAATAGGAGGGAAACAGCGGAACGGAAAACAAAAGCATCAGCATGTTAAAACAGCCTAGCTAGATGAACGGTCAGATCATCCGTACAACGAACGAGAACCTTGAATAAAACTAGCGTTTTTGGGAAGACGCAAACAGCATTGCGGGTCCATCTAGCACATAGAGCAGAACTTGTATTCACTATAAGCTGTTACTAAGTACCTATTAACGTCGATAAAAAAGTTGGATGATTAATAAGACCTTCAGGGTTTCCCACTCATTTATGGCTCTCGTTAAAAAAGGGCTCGGAGAAAATGAAAAGTTTGAAAACGGTTAGTCTGCAGAGGTCTACCATCAGGGAAAAAGCCCGTATACATGAGGCTTCCATTCAAAGGTGACTCGGTTGCTGAATTAATCACCAGAAGGCTTAGAAACTCCGTGGATACGACATACTTGGCCGCTAATCTATCTTTGAGCTTCAACTCCAGCCCCACTATCGGATTCTGCTTGGAAGACAAATTGCCACGTTCTACCGCCAGCTTTTGTGTGTACTCATTCGTATGGTCGTGCTGAGCATCATACGTTGGTCGTACAACAAGGCATTTGTTGGACAGAACACGAGAACACAATCCCGTATCTCTGAGTGGTAGTGGAAAGAAACCAGGCTCAAGCGCGATTGCAGCACACTTGGCCGAAACCTGTCATGTCACAGACAAGGAGCAAGCCTTCACCATCATATACCAGGTACCTCTGAACGGATCGCGACTGGTACGATCCAGACTACTATCGATCGCAGAGACGATAGGAATCCGACTGCTGGATCCGCAACTTTGCATCCAAAAGAAACTTGTGCGACCTCTGAACTTGAACTGGCCCACGAAACATCTGGTCCCACAAGT